GTGTGTGTGTGTGTGTGTGTGAGAGAGAGAGGTAGAGAGACCTCTGTGACCACAAAAGACAGACCAACCTTCAGCACAGAACAACAGTGTAGGGGATGTCTGAGCAGGATGAGAAACTCGTAGCCCACACCGTCCGACGACTTCATGATTCTCTCCGCAAGGTACGTCGCAATCTGGGGGGAAAAACACAAACCATTCGAGTCACTATTTTCAGTTCTTCATCCCTTTTTTTGTTGCTGTTTTTTTTAAAAATCAAAAACCATTTCAAATCCTTCACAAAAGAGCTCTATTTCCTGTTTACATTCAACTTTCTGAGTCGAGTTGGAAACAGAAAAAAAAACCCAGTTCCGTCAAACTGGAAATCAATTCCGAGATCAACGAATTAAGCAGCAGTAGGGAGAATTACTGACAAAATGAGTTACTTCTCCAATTTTGGCTTTTTGGAAATAAATACGTCACACTTATAGCTGGAGTTTGTACATTTAGTAGTATGAAATAATAAAAGACATTTAAACTTGAAATAAAATGGCATGATTTCAAAATCTAGGAATTAGACCCCCAAGTCCATTTTCGGGCCAATATTTCCATTCGCTGATTGCAAGAAGCAAGTCATTTTGTTAGCGTGTCTCACATATATGTCCTGCCCTAACTCTTTAAACCCCATTGGATGCTGCAGTGCCGGCGGTCATAACCGTTCCCCATCGGAGTGACAACCGTTTCATTTTATTTAGTGCTAGTTTTTGCTTGTTTTTCAGAATTATTCCTGATCCAAGTATTTTTAGTATTGACTAAGCCTTTGTTTCCGCCATTTAGAATTTGGAGGCAAACTTTTGGGGTTATAATGAGACATAGTGCACTAGGTTTAGGTGACTGTAGAAAAAACTCTGGGAAATGGTGGAACAAACTTTTGGTTTAAAGAGTTAAAGCGTAAAGCTTGATACTGTTTCAAGAAGCATCTTTACGACTGACCTTCTGTTTCCCGTCCTTGGGTCCCGTGGCCTCGTGGGAAACGTAGGTGAGCGAGGCTAGACTAGAGATAGCGTGTAGCGTCATCTGTTCCAGCCGCTCTGTGGCCGCCTCCATGTTGCCTTCTGCTATCTCTGGGGACAAAAAACAAAAACAAAAACATGTGAAATGTGCTGACAAAACGTGTAACTTCTCCAATTTTAGCCTTGTAGAAACTGGTACACCAACTTGATAGGTGGAGTTTGTACAGTTTGTAAGTCATCATCATCATCATGTGGCGTCGGTAGCCTAGTGGTTAGGCTCTCGGACTTGCAACCGTAAGGTCGTGGGTTCGAATCCCGTCAAGGGCCCGACATTGTGTCCTTGGGAAAGGCACTTTACCCGAATTTTCCTCACTTCACCCAGGTGGGAACGGGTACCCGGCTATAGACAGCGAAAGATCTTTTCAGTTTGTTAGTGTTTGAGCGCTTAATCGGCTGCTCGCACTATATGCTTCCCGGGAAGCTGAGAATGTTTCGGAGTGTACTATGGTCTGCTGGGGTAATAATATAGTGTAAAGCGCATAGAGCCTGCTGTTGAGTGGGGATATGCGCTATACAAATGCTATCTATTATTATTATTATTATCATCATCCAGTGCCAGATCTGCGACAGACATCAGCGATCATGATTTTCCATTCATTCCTTTGCTCGGATGCTCTCAGAAAAGCTACGTTTCCCTGATCTTTCCCTGTTACCCATTTGTTTAGGTTCCCTAAGTATGTTGTTCTAGGCCTACCAGTTTGTAAGTAGGGAAGAATAAAAGACACGGTAGACTTGAAGCAAATGGCATCAACTGAAAAATCTATACATCTGACCCCAGAGTCAGTTTTTGGCTAATATCTATATTTTTGGATTGCGAAAAGTAACTCATTTTGTCAGCAGCCTCACATATTATTATGTTGTGTCATGACGCGGTGGAATCAGGCATTCGTCAATTTTTGAGTATATGGAGTTATTGGTGTCATCTTAAAGGTAGTTCATTTGCCTTGCTTTTGATGAAAAAATATCCATTTATCTTGAATAGAAGTCGAGATGTTTGCGATGGAAGGAGGTCGGGTCGTCTGATTTCAGAACTAAAATTAGTGAGAAAATGTCCGCCAAAGTTAGGTGACTTCCATCTATAGCTAAAGAGTCCTTGGAAACTGCAAATTTACTTTTTTTGTCTGCTTCGACTATCAAGGCATCCCGGAAATAGCGGGTCACAAGAGAGTGACAAACATACAAAAGAAGTAGAGGAAAATGACGATAGTAAGGATGATGAAAGAAAAAGCAGCAGTTCCCCCTATGTTGTTCTGGCACAGTATGAGCATGACATAAATCAGCCCATTTACAATTCTACTGTGCATAAGAACATGTTAATATCCCCCCTTTAGGAAAGGCCTAAAGACACTTCAGTCAGTAGCACTGCCCTGGGGGTGGGGTGTACCGACAGTTTATTTTGTTTTACCTCAGATACAGGTTGACATTGGAAAAACAAAACACCCACCTATGTATATATATGCATGTATATATATATATAGCTATATAGAAAGAGTAAAGTTGTTCCCACATCCAATCCGGACATTGGGGATATCCTTGTTAGTGAGACAACTTCCTGGGCCTTCGGTATATTGTGGTAGGGAGGCCAGTTCCTTTCCACGCCGCCTTTACTTCCCCAACTCAAAGTCAGGTACCTATTACTGCTGGGTGGGCAGGAGGGGGCGAAACAAAATCCGTGTCCGATATATATATAATATATATATCATTTCTCTTGTGGGTTTACAATTTTAAAATCCACAAGGCTGCTCTACTAAACACAAAAGCGCCAGTTGATAGAAATGGGCAGGGTAAAAATTTCTTTTGAACCACTCACCTGTGAGTCGCTTGAGCACGGCGGGGTCCCCTTGTGTGGCGGTCAGTAGAGCGTCCAGACTCTCCAGATGGTCAGTGGCCACGGAGCTGAAGTAGGCGTTGGGCTCCTGGATGCGTCCCCTCTCACTGGCCTCACTCAGGTACACCACACACTGGACGGGGAGACAGCACAGGGGAAATATTTTTAACCCTATCTGTACACCCTGGGGTCATTTTGTGCCTCCGGGGTTGTATTCTTCACATTTTAGAATACTTCTAGTACGAAAATCTCTTTGAGACTTTCAGTATTTCTCAGAAAAATCATTATGACAGACTGCTCTGCAAAGCGTATCAATCGGATTAACGAGTAAATTTCCTCTTTGGAAAGTGATGGCACAGAGTTCCCCACGTCGTATGGATACGATAGTAAAACACGACGTACGGATAGGGTTAAGTGGTGGCACAGAGTTTCCCACGTCGTATGGATACGATAGTAAAACACGACGTACGGATAGGTTTAAGTCATGGCACAGAGTTTCCCACGTCGTATGGATACGATAGTAAAACACAACGTACAGATAGGGTAGAGTGGTGGCACAGAGTTCCCCACTTTGTATGGATAGGATACTAAAACACGACGTACAGAAAGGGCTAAAGCCCTGAGCCCGAGATAGTCGGGTTGGGCACTTCTGTGCTCTGCCCTGAAACCCGACAGTATTGGGATGGAAATTTCTGCTGCTTAATAACATAAACACACATCAAATGAGAACAGACTTTATTTTACAAGTGACCCCTGGCCATTTCTTTATAAGAAACAGACTAGTACAAGGGCAAAGGTCGCTTTCTTGACCTACAACTGAACATAACTTAGCACGTGGTAACAAAGTGGGAATTGAGAACGAGTCTTGGTCTTTCATCTGAGCCACTTTTTAGTGCGTGTTGCTGACCCTTTTCAAATGGTAATATCTCACAAACTATCAAATATTTTTGAATTCTGTAAACGGTAAAAGTCCATGCTATGACTAAACAAATTGTGTGTGAAATAATATGGCTATTGGAAGTTGATTTAGTTGGGGTTTTTCCCCGATTTTACAAAAAACACTTTAAACCACGAGGCACATCCAGTAGACCGGGTCCCCATGGCTGAGTGAGTTAATGTAGATGTTTTTACACCCCTACTGATACAATTTAGATCTATTTAGGAGGCGGGCTTCCCACCCTTCCTGTCAAGGCCAACCCGGGCTGGGAGGAATACAAGTTAAAATCCTCCCATAAAAAGTACAATTCTCAGATGATGTATATGACCAAGGGACATTTCCAGTTGTAAGTAAACTAATGTTGTCCTTCACGGGCACTGAGTTATAAGTTTTAAATCTGAATTGAATCCCACAACGTTCATCAGCAGCCCCTATCTCCGAAATGTCAGTAGGGTTACTCCCCCCCCCCCCAGACTTCCTTTTTAAATTCAAACAACATCTGGGTTTGCCATGGTAGGTGCAGATGGGGAGGGGGAGGGTGGGTGGGGTTTTTACTGAACTGTCCAGCAATACTCACACAAAACTGTCAAGAAAAGGTCATGAACTTATTTATTTTCAGAAAAACAAAAGTAAATAACAAGTAAAGCTCATTTATAGATGAGTTGAAATGTTTGGCGATATAAAACACACAGGATAAACAAGCCGAAACAGCGACTCAAATTAGAATAGATTAAATCACGCGAGACATCACCAAAAAAAACTTACTGTCCATTTAATTGGTCATTGACACTTTGCTTCTCTAAAATGACAAAGTTCTATCTGTTCAGTACCTAGTTTTGAGAAACTTGACGTAAAAGATTTTGAGTTTCCCAACATGTCAAGCTTTTTTTAATGCAATTCTTTGAATGTCTTAATAACGACTCTGAATAATCTGACGATTTTGATAGAGTAGATAGAGCATTTGATATCTGACCTCATTGTCATGGTAACTCATAACTCATAACGGCCAAAAACGTCGGATAGAACTTTGTAATTCTAAGGTAGCGACCTGCAGGATTACGCACCCCTGGTCTCGTTTTTTAGTTTTAGTAGAGTTTTTATGGCGCTCGCAACTGCATTTTAGTTTTAGCTTTAGTAGAGTTTTTACGGCGCTCGCAACTGCATTTTAGTTTTAGTTTTAGTAGAGTTTTTACGGCGCTCGCAACTGCATAAGGTCATATGAGCGCCAAGGGGTGAATGTCAACAGAGAAGTCCTTACAAGGAATCAGGCTTACTCTGCTCACCTCTCTAGCTTCAAAAGCACAAAATCTGCTGCGACTGTCAAGGCATTTCAGAAATAGCGGGTCACAAGAGAGTGACAAACATACAAAAGAAGTAGAGGAAAAGGACGATAGTAAGGACTAGGAAAGAAAAAGCAGCAGTTCCCCCTATGTTGTTCCGGCACAGTATGAGCATAACATTGATAAATCAGCCCATTTACAATTCTACTCTACATAAGAACATGTTAATATCTCCCCTTTGGGAATGGTCTAAAGACACTTCAGTAAGTAGCACCGCCCTGGGGGGTTGCCCCTGGTCTCGGCTGTGACCACTCACCAGCAGCGTCTGCTCCAGAAGTCGGAGATCCTCGTCAATGTCCTCGCTGACCAGCCCCGGCACCAGAGACCAGAAGCGGTGGATGGCGCTGGTGTAGTGGGTCACACTAGACACAGAGGGAGCACAGCACAATGACAAAGTCAGCGTTTGAAAGGGTCGTTTTATGTTGGATAAACTGTGAGGTGTGGAGGTGTGCTTAGTGCTTACAAAATGAGTTACTTCTCGCAATCTAAGAAAGGAGATTACCATCCTCCCACCTTTTAACTCTCATCCTCAATAAAAATCGCTAATCAACATGCGTTATAAATACAGTCAATCGTAAAGGAGCCAGAGAGAGAGAGGGAAAGAAAGAAGAGAGAAAAGGAGAGAAAAAAGACGAGAGGAAAAAGGAGCGAGAGAGAATGAGGAAAAAAAAGAGATAGAAAAAGAAAAGAGCGTAAAAGAGAAGCAGAGACTCACACTTGTTTGTCCTTGCCCTCCGCCTGCGACCAGTCAGCCCAGCTGATCTCACTGGCGAAGTACGCGTTGACCGTGATCACAAGGTCGTTCAGGATCTGCTGTGCCCATGGTTGCTGCCCAGACAGATGAAGAAATGAAGACATTAGATGAAGAAATGAAAACATTAGATAAAGAAATGAAGACATTATCATTAGATGAAGAAATGAAGACATTAGATGAAGAAATGAAGACATTAGACGAAGAAATGAAGGTTTTAGTTTTAGTAAGGTTTTACAGCACTCGCAACTGTATAAGGTCATATGAGCGCCAAGGGGTGGATGTCAAGAGGCACAGTATTAGCATGACATTGATAAATCAACCCGTTTACCATTCTATTGTGTATAAGAACATGTTAATATCCCCCCTTTGGGAATGGCCTAAACACAACTTCAGTCAGTGGCACTGCCCTGGGGGGACGTTGTATCCCTCTCAGCCCAGGTTGGCCCTAACAGGGAGGGGGAGAATCCCCATTCTTCAATGACCCAAATTGTGTCGATGGGGACGTAAGAACTGCTACATTAAAACAGAAATCGATGTACCTGCTTGACCTTGGTGGCCTTGAGGACGTCCTGTAGCAGCGACAACAACTTGTCCGGGAGGTCAAGGGCGTTACAAAAAGCCACGATTTTCCTAACATCGCTGCCAAAACAGACATAAAGCATGAAATGTAATGGTGCAACTATCAGGGATGTCACTGGACTTTTGGAAAAATAACTTTTTTCTTTTCCGAGACTGCATTTAGCACGCGCCAAAGCAATAAATGCAACAAAACAAAAGCATATCAGTTCAACAATAATAAAAATATTTCCCAACGGACGACGCCCAAAATAAAGAAAAAACAAACAAACAACGTAAATAATGGAAAAACGGCATCTCAGAACTATATTTTTCTTTCACGGTACACTTACAACAACAGGTCTTGAAGTAGGGATCCCCTGCCAGCAAAGCACATCCCACTGAACTCCTACCTAAACAGGATCCGCAAGGATACCCCTCTGTAACAAAGCACATCCCACTGAACTCCTACCTAAACAGGATCGGCAAGGATACCCCTCTGTAACAAAGGTAGTGAGCCAGTCAAATATTAGTGTCTAACACAGGGTGCCTATTGGGGGATCAGGTCAGGTCAGGTCGGGTCAGTTTGCTAGCCAGATTGACAGCTAAGCGGCTATCGTGGCACAAGCCGATCGCGCTCGGCTCGCCGACTTAAAAACAAACGAATTTGTTTTCAGGCGACGAGTGGGGTGACGCCCCCGACCTGACCTGACCCGACCCGACCCAACCCCATCCGCAATGGGCACCCCGCATAAAGTTTCCCGTTCTTGAGAAAATGTGTGACCTGTGCAGGCTCCATAAGCTCTTGACTTGTTTGCGTCTTTTGTTCTAAATAAACTTTTAACCTTTCTTCGCAGTCAAGCCAAAGTACATCGTAAGAACTCACCACTTGAGGGTAACGATGTTGGTGATGACTCGCAGAACGGAGCGAAGTCGCGACGCACCTTCCAACATACAGTCGCGCACCTGAGGACACACAAATGTTCTTTATTTTTTATTTGTAAGTGTTTTGCAGTGCTCAAAACTGCATTAATTCATATGAGCGTGCGGGACAAGCACAAATGTTCCCTGAAATATCTCCACATCAAATGTAAGTCATAATTATAGTGAGGTTTTTAGTTTTAGTTGAGGTTTTACGGCGCTCGCAACTGCATAAGGTCATATGAGCGCCAGAAGATTAGAGCTGTTACAAGAGAGTAACAAACATAAAAAAGAAGAAGGGGAGATAAGGACGATAGGTGTTTGATAGGAAAGAAGGAACATACCACACCAGAGCACCCACCAACCACCCACCCCCGTGTCCAAAGAATGTAAAAGACACTTGGAAGGAAATATAGGCCCAACACACTGACAAACACACACACAGACAACCAGACCTGGTCAGAGCTAGAGTTGAGCCTCACAAACAAACAAACACACACACACACACATACACACACACACAGACAACCAGACCTGGTCAGAGCTAGAGTTGAGCCTCACAAACAAACAAACACACACACACACATACACACACACACAGACAACCAGACCTGGTCAGAGCTAGAGTTGAGCCTCAGTTTGAGTTTCCCGATGGTCTCAGCGTCGTCCAGAAGCCGGAGCGTGTAGTCTGGGTCACCCTCCTGGTCGGTCACGTCGATCAACTTCTGCCACTCATCCTCGCTGTCCACCTCCTGTACGAGGGAATAGTCAGTGTTTTACGGCACTTGCAACACAATCAAGTCATAAAAGTGCTGAAAATTAGAGGTGTTACTTGAGAGTAAAAGTTTTATAGAAGCATAAAAATACACCTATGTACAAACAAAGTTGCTCCCGCATCCGATCCGGACATTGGGGATTGCCTTGTTAGTGAGACAACTTCCAGGGCCTTCGGCATATTGTGGTAGGGTGGCCAGTTCCTTTCCACGCCGCCTTTACTTCCCCAACTCGAAGTCAGGTACCCATTACTGCTGAGTGGGCTGGACGGGGTGAAAAAAATCTGTGTCCGAACCCAGGCTGGAACTCCCACTTTCTGCTTTGGAGACGAGCGCACTTACCACTCCACCACACACCTATGTATATTCTTAAAAACCCAAAACCCTCACTCAATGATGTCTTTAAGCAGCGGTCACCCGGCGGTCACCCCACTCACCTCCGTGTCCAGTTTCACGTTCTCCATGTTGTTCGACGGCTCCTCCTTTTTCTTCTTCTTGTTGAGCACCGTGCGACCTTCGACCTCGATGCTCGGGTACTCCTGCTTGTAGTCTTTGCTGATGCGGTCGGGTCTTGGGGTGGGCTCTAGGACCTGGGGGAGAGGAGGGTGGAGGGAGGATGGTAAGGGGAGGAGGGTGGGAGGATGGTGAGGGGAGGAGGGTGGGAGGATGGTGAGGGGAGGAGTGTGGGAGGATGGTGAAGGGAGGAGGGTGGGAGGATGGTGATGGGAGCAGGGTGGGAGGATGGTAAGGGGAGGAGTGGAAGGGGGGAAGGGAGGGAGGATGGTAAGGGGAGGAGGGTGGGAGGATGGTGAGGGG